TTGGATGTGCACACACATATGGCAATAAGTAACAATATGTAGACTTATTTATTTGCGCGCTTTTGTTGACTAATCTTTGTTTAAATAATTGCCTATTTCGAGCCAAAATGACGCATAAAAGGAAACGGCAACATACGGTGCGATAAGCAATGTAAAGGCGTGAGCGAGATGGCGCTAGAGAGAGCGCAGCATAAAAAGAAAACAACAAACGCACACACAGACAAACGAATACAGACACGCACACATGGTCAAAGGAGTGGCTCCAACGTCGGTGACGTCGCGCCCAGCCACAGCCCCCCGTCCCGCCCCGCCCCGCCCACTCCCTTCCTTCCCCACCCCTCTACCCATCTACCCCCATCCCTCTTCCTCTTTTGCCGCATTTGGTATTGCCTTCTCGCTCTTTTGGCTTTATTTTGCTTTTCGGTCAAGCTAAAAAACTGAAATCAAAGAGGAGAGCCTGGAAATTGCAATTGTTAAAAAAAAAAACAATTGCACATGCACTCTTTTTAGAAAAAAAATCCGAAATTCGAGCATGACCATAAAAAGGTGTGATCAAGAATACAAGACAGTACAAAAAAAATCTTTAAAATAATTCTGTTATAATTGTATTACCATAAAGGTTCTTTAATATTTAAATATAATAATAATAATTTAATAATTTTGTTTTAATTGTATTGTCATAAAGGTTCTTGAACATTAAAATATAATAATAACATTATAATAATTCTGTTTTAATTGTATTACCATAAAAGTTCTTAAACATTAAAATATACACAAATACGATTAATATATATATAGATAAATATACATAGACAAATTTAAAATTCAAAGCCTGGAATTTGTTTTTTCTGTTAAAAGATTATAAACACATAAAATTTATGTTTATTATGTTCTTAATTTAAAGAAAAAACCCATGGAAAATGTATTACTTTGTGACCCTACTCATAAAGTTTAAATTATGGTGACAAAATTCCATAAAGATAAGTTGTAGAAAATTCCAGTCATAGAACTTCCAACGAATACAAGTTATTCTCATCGTTTTGTGTCCAAAATATTCGCCGACGTCATCGCGAAATTCCACATTCCCCAAGCCATGTCTTGTTCTTCTCTTCGTAGCTTTTCTTCAACGAAAAAAGAGAGATAGCGAGTGACACAATCTTATCTTGCAGACGGGTCTTTGGAAATTGCCCCGGCTAACGGTTAACAGCATATAGCCAAGAATGGAGCCATTGCAAACTGATGGAAATTGGCTTCAAATTGCTCCGAATATGGTCAGTCGGCATTGGATTGTCGAGAGCCATCAACTAGTTCTACTTCTCCGCCCGAAGATCATCATTTCTTTCTCGAATGTGTTCATTATGTATTTGGTATTTAGCGTTGATCAGCCAGCTTTAATGGCCATAAAACGTGTCTTGGTTTGTGGGCCACATAACAGGCAACGAGATCTGGAAAAATGATGACAGTAGAAATGTTAAAGAAGTGTTCTAATAGAGATATCTGTTTTTTGCATCACTGAAGTCTCTGTAAATCTAGGAATATAATATATTTTGACATGGATATTTTGATAGTTATGTGATTGGATTCATTATCTCTGAAAGATGCCCTGTAGGATCCATGACTATTTGGAACCCAGCAGTCGGAATGGTAAAGAAGTATTCTCTTAAAGATATTTGTTAGTTTTACATCTTTAAAGTCTCTATAAATCCAGGAATATAATAATATTTGGAAATATAATGATATATTTATGATACATTGATTCTGAAAGATGCCCTATGGGACCTTCGAATATTTGGAACCCAACAGTGGGAATGCTTCTTATAAAGATATCTCTTTATTTAACATCTTTAAATCTAGAAAGATATTATTATTTATTATTTCTGAAAGATGCCCTATGGGACCTTCGAATATTTGGAACCATACTATCCTCAACCCATTCTCTTCCAAGATCTTTAATTCCAGCTTTAACCTTATTTGCTTTTCTCAAGTTCGTTGTTCGTCTGTTTTTTGTTTGATTATATTTTGGCAAGGCGACCAAAAAAATCGAAGAAATTTCCCCGGGCCAATGGCTTTGGCTTGGATAGTATTAACCTTGCGCCAGTGAGGTTACGTTGGATCGATCGCCAAGATAGAGATCGACAGAGAGGGGGGTATGGAAACTAGAAATACTTAAATAGCCAAAAACGCGTTGATGTTGACTTTGAAACCGCTATAAAACAAAAAGATACAACAAAATAAACAGCAACATACTGTAGCCATGATCAACGACCTTTCTCCAAAAGTACGTAACTCGTCACGTTTTCTACACTCACACACATAAACGTCAAAATAAATAAAATAAACAAGTTAAGCGACTTGGGCCAAAGCCATTGTCAAGGTCATTGAATGTGAAAATTTTCGTACATTTTTCGCAATTAATTTGTTTTCTTCCATTTTCATTAATTTCCATCGTGGCTGCCATTAACATGCACGCACTGCCAGGGTTGCCACCCCTTCCACCATATGTATATCCCATATCTTTCTTGTTATTTTATTTGGATTTTTGTATTTTACCAGCTGGCATTGCAGTTAACCGCTTTTGGTCATCTTAAAGTTGCAAATACATTTTCACTCCGGCCTTTTTGGCCATTTCGGCATCGCAACGCAATTGGAGAGAAAAATACAGCCATTAATTGCCGTCTTAATTAGTTTGCGTGCACAGACACGATGGGAAAAGTGAGGGGATGCGAGTTTGGGATCGTGCGTTTGAAGTAGTTTGCAGTCGGGGGAGTTAAGCACCCGAAAGCCCAAGGCCATGGACGGTTAGTTTGGCTAAAAAGGCGAAAAAACGTTTGAAGAAATCTCAGCCGAGGCCTCCAATCCACAGCCCTGGCCAAAAAGCTATCGTACAATCTCAAATCAACCGATTTTTTTTTACAACCTACAAAGAAAATATTTCTTTTAATTATTAAAATGATTTTTAATGATTGATAAATTAAATATAAAAATAAATACATATGAATTAAAAGATTAAAAAGATTATTTTTACTTATGAACGTAAGGATTTTCATTATAGATCCATTATAATAGCTCATTTATTATTCTGTGAGACTCGAATTTAATATTTTTGAATCTTTTGGGTTCTTATCGAAACCAACTACAGTTAATCCATCATCATATTAAGTCATATTTGTCTTTCAAATTAAATCTATATATAGCTCATCAGTTGCTAATATTCTGGCCCCGACTGTTGCCATAAAATCATCACTTGCTCCAAAAGAAATCTCCATGAGTGCTGTAAAATAATCAAGAGCCCAAGTATCTAGTACGTTTCGGAGTTAATCGTGCTTGCTTTCGCGCGATCCGCGATATAAATGCCAACACGAATTTATGTTAATGTAATAATGCTAAATCGCCGAATTCCACACCGCTGCTAATTGCTCCGTTAATTGCCCATCGCGCTGCATTGCCGACATTGTTGCACCTGTCGCTGATTCGCAATTACGCCCACCTGTCGGAAAATGTCGGAAAATGTGTGAGTTGCAGACGCTCCGGGAAAGTGAAAGATATGAATTATTTCGCATTTCATTTGGGTTTTTCGTTTGTTGCGATTTTGGCGTGCTTTTCGCAAGATTTCACCCGATTTCAGTGGGTGGCGAGACGGCTTTATCTGCCTACACAGAAAAAGTATCTTAAGATCACCAAACAAAAACTAGATCTTAGCCTACAGTTCAAGAAAAATTATTTAATTTGGATAATAATAGATAATAATATTATGTTCCATTTATTTATTTCCAATAAAATATAATATTTTATAATATTATACTCGATATAAAGGATTATATTTAAAATCTAGTGATTATTACAACTTCAATGGGTTTATTTTGGGAAAAATAATATAAACAATCAGTATCAAATTTATTCTCCACAGTTAATTTCGTACAATATGTAAGGCAATCTCAAAAACAAATTACTGCTAATAAAAATATGCAAGTGAACTTTCAGTGAACTGGTTAAATTGCTTGAACTTTTATAACGCAGTGAAGCTTCTTTACCATGAACTACAAATAAAGAACATTTTAAAATATTTTTAATAAAAATATATATCAAACATGTTTCAAAAACTGAATAGTCAAATATTTTAGGATGTTGCAATTCTAATATTTTAACATTTTTTTTTTACATTGTTAAATCTTTTATATTCTTTTTTATTTATTTTGTATATGCTTTAAATAGTTAGAGGTTTTTGAGTTTAGGATTCAAGTTACACAAGCTCAACTGTAAGTTCTCGGTAGCACATTAAAGTTTATTTATAGTACTCTGTCTCATGGCAATTGATCAATAAAATAGTTGACTGTGCAGGGTGAAGAAGAAAAAGTTTCATTGAGTCATTTAGTTGGGCTACCAGACACAGCCACTACACCAAGCTCACACCCATTTAGTGTTATTATAGGGAGGGCTGGAGGAGCCAGCCTCTCAGACTGAAAGGTGCAAGACATACATGGGTACAGCTGCGGTCAAAATAATAGTTTCTATTATAAATTTTTACAAAATGCTAATATATAAATATTTTTTTTTAGGTTTGTTTATACAATATTTCACATTCTAAACATTAAATCTTAGTTTCATATCATATTGGAAATTAAACATCAACAGTGTGTTTTTTTATTCAAAAACCTGACCTCGAACCGGCAAAGACTCCAATATATCATTGAAAAATTCGTCACAACCTACAAAAAAAAAATTTCGAAGATCATTTTTCATATATCATCATATATTAATATTTAATATGAGACATTATTAAATAAAGTAGTAGTCCTAACTCAAAAATTCAAAATATATTTATTTCTTAATATAAAAAATCATCATGAATGGATGCTGCTAACATTCTGTGCGCAACTGTACCCACATAGCTCAGTTGGAAAGACAGACCCCTCGCATCTCTCAACCTGTCTCCTTCGACTCTTTAGTTGCTTTCTTGACTTGTTTATTGCGGCGTCAGCTTTGGCGAGACTTTATATTTTTTCTTTTTTTTTTTGTATTTTTGTATCCAGCTGCAGCAGCTGGTTTTCGTGCTTTTTGTTGCTGTTGTCGCATCTGATTAGCGCCAAGTAAAGCTGTTTCGAGCTGGCAATGAAAGAAATGTGGGCAAAAAAGTAGCGAAAACCACACGTCGCTCAGTCTCACGTGGGTGCCGAGGTCTACAGAGGCAGAAACTTGTAATCAGTCTTCGGAACTTCAGAAGCTGTGGAGACGGGGCATTAAAGATGGTGAGATTGGGGTAGGAAATGTGGACTCTATATGCATAGTATATGTATTCCTCACAGGTAATTGCATAATTTCTACATAGGATCTTGAAGAGGGTTTATCATTCGTATTATTCTAATATTTTGATATCCCACAATAATAAAATATTCGGAGATCAATAGGTAGTGGAGACAAGGTATTAAGAGTTGTGATATTGGGGTAGGAAATAATATCCTCCATATTTATAATTTCATTATTTTTTATGCAAATTTTGTTGGTGTAAAAAACTAATTAATTAGACAAAAGATTCGATTTAAAAAATATAAACTTTTTAATTCATTCGAAAACACATTTCCTGCTGGATTCTGTAAGACTCCAAAAATAACTCTGTTAGGCAGTGATGTGATCCATTTTTGCGTGCTTTCCATAATTTTATGCACATAAATTAAGCGTATTTTGTTACATTAATTTTGGCTTAGTCCAAAACAGGGCCAAAACAACCGCAGTCTCAGTCGAAGTGGCCGTCGACGTCTTGCATTTATAAGGTTAGAGCAACATATTTGCATGGTGAAGTAACTACACAGTGATCGGATCTACAGTGGATTCTGCCTTATAAATACAGGTTCGTTAAAAATGCTAAGATTTTCTCATCTAAAAGCTGTGATAATTCGTAAACAGTATTCACAATAGTATTTGTTTTTATTTGTACATTAAGTTACTTTCTATCTGTGAAGCTGGAAGAATAATAGTATTTGTTGTTAATGAAATTTGGTCAGTATGTTTTTTGACCCAGCCTTCACTGTATTTTGCAAAATCGGAACCGAAGAATGTGGGTTGCAAAAAACTAAAACCTAATAGTGGTTTTTAATGAAATTTTGAATGTATACTCGTGTGTACAGATGGCGAGTGCGCAATGTTTAATTGTTTGTAGGCCCACATCGACGCACACCCACTTCCCATTCCGATTCCCATTCCCATTCCTGGGGCTCTACATTTTTCTGTTGTCTTCTGTTTTTCGCAGGGTTGGCCCGTTGCGGTCTACTGCCATCAGCTGGGCGTTGCATGTGTGTGCGTGAGAGCAACGTCAATTAAATAAAACAAAAAAAAAGAACAATAAAATGGGAACGAGGGACCGAAGCGCAGAATACCCTTGTAGATCAATAACTTCCATTCTGCCAGTGCGACAGACACCAAACTTTACATGATCCACTGAAATGGTATAATACATAAAGCTACCAAGTTTTGTAACAATCCATTTTGTAACAACACAGTTACGATAGTTTGATCGAATATGTACAGCCAAAATAGTACCTTAGCATTATATTTAACGAATATCCTTAAATGTATATCATTAATTTTCAAATTTCCATGTTGTTCCATACTTTTACTCCATTTAATAGTACCATTGTTTCAAAAAGGGTATAAAAAACATTGCCGACAATGAAAAATTCAAATAAAGATGCCATTTTTTGTGGCGCTTTCTACCTCTAATTACACAAATTGAAAAGCGCACACGTGAGCTTTGCTTTTTTTTCTTTTGTGGGTGTGTACTGACACACGTGTGTGCATCCAGGACCGGCCACGCCCAGATTCCCGGCAGATATACCACCCCGCCCCCAGGAGTCCGCCGGAATCCGGATTGAGCCGACCGTAAAGCGGAAAGCATTGCGTGAGGCCCCGAATCGCATAATGCTCGAGGTACTTAGGCCCAGATCGTGCCAAGCAGATAGTTAAATCCAGACCCGCCTCTTTCCAGTGGGTGCGACATGCAAGGAACTCATTTTAGAACCCATCCAAGTTTTACAATCCAACATAAACATAGCATAATCTTGTAAAAATAGAGGGTTCCCTAATGATGCAATTTCATTTGCTAGAGGGTTCCTACAAAGTTTAAAAGATTATAAAACTTTTTTGATATCATAACTATTTATCATATTACTACAAAGTGCAGTAAAAGTTCGACTGCATTCAAAAACTTGTATACTTGAGTTATTTCAGTTGCAACTTGTAATGCAGTCTGTTAATGAACTTGAGAGAACTTTTTCAAACAGGTTTGTGTGAATAATAAATGATAAATTAACGTTGGGGTTGGGGAAACATTTTAATTTATATGAAACGTGTGGGATTGGAGTTTATTGCACAGTTTGGTTGGGAAACTGTAATTGCACAGGTATTGCACTTAATAAAACTCATAATAAAATCTGTGCTAACGGATATAAATAAAATTTCCTAATAAGCCAACAAATGTTGAACAAGTGAGTAATACTTGTTAGTTTAATATTTCATTGGTTTCTAGTTAAAGATAAAAATAAGCCTTTTTTCCCGAGATTAGTTATCGTGTAGAGTTAGTCATAAATACTTGTTATTGAAATTAGTTAATGAACAACACAGTTTTGATGTGGTGAGCACATTTTTGTTGGTTGAATCTTAATATGAGCTCTGTTTTTTATCTAATTTATTTTTCTTTTTCTTAAGAACTGCGTTCTTCAAGATAGAACTGCTAAGTGATTAAGTAATCAAGTTTTCGGGTGAATGTGAATTGTTTTCCTCTCCTGCATGATTTCTTTGGACTCCGAAAAATTAGCATTATCAGTAGAATAAAGCCTGAACTCATTGCTCATACCACTATCTTTAAGCCCTTATCCTCTTCCTTTTTTTCACTCTCATGCGGGTTGATTGGAAAACAATCTCATTGGCGCCCAACGCCACTGTTATCAGGCCCATAAACACTATTATACTGACGGACACGTAGGCCCATTACCATTTACCAACAGCCAATAAATAATAATGAAATATATAAGTGCGTGAAACTGTGTATTTATTTCAATAGCGTTTAACTAAATTGCTGATAAGGCAGCGCCGAAAGTAAATATGTGTAAGTATGGGCGATAAGTCTGAATAAGTTGAGGCTGAGTCAGAAAAAACTGGCACCTGACCGATCCAAATCGCTATAACCGATCTTGGGCGATAGCTCCAAAGTTATGTAGGTGTGACGCAGCTATATAGATTTCCAACAAGGTGATGACTCATCCGGATTCCAGATGACTTTCAGAGTGGGGAAACTAGATGGATTACCGGTTTAAGGCAAGTTCTTGTATAAACCCTTAGTAATACAAATAGTATCACCCTAAAACTTTTACCAACTTTGTTATAAGAAACGAAATCTTAACAAAAAAAATCATTTAAGCTAAGAAACCATTCTTTTTTTCTTTAAAAACACCTTATGGAAACATTATTTTGGTAATCCCAACTTCCCTAAACTTAATATAGGGTTCCTTAAACGTGTCTAGTCATCCTTTCAAACTTTTGAGTGATATACGTATGCATATACATACATATTATCTTACCTATGAGTCACAAGTTCGACTTACGTCCAGCTCAAAGCCGATTCCGTGTTTTTAAAATGAATCATCACCCCCAAAACGTAAAGTACACTTATTCGTTGGCGTTGCTTTGCATATGAAACAGCAAAAAAAAGGGAAAAATAAAAAATCCGAGGGATAAACATGTTGATGGCGAAAAGAAAACCAAATCCATAATAAAATAACACAAGACCTGGCAAAATAACAACAATAGGCAAAACTTAAACGGGTTGAACGGTAAACCCACGAAATAGGTAAAAATAAAAATATAAACCGAATCCCGCTCGGAACGAAAAAATTATAAATAATTGAGCTGGGAGAACCGTTTAGCATAAAAACACACAAACAGCCCAGAAACGACGATGATGATCGTGACTATCTTAATGATAATAATGGCCATGATCATCGGAAACCGTTTGGCGATCTCTTGGAAAGCATAAACACCTGCCCAACAACAAAGTAGAGAAGTTGTAGTACACTTCTCGAAAATTAACACAGAAATAGAGACATATTTCAGAAAATAAAATAATTTTAGAGTTAAAATACGCCCCAATAAAGTAATATTAATTATTTCGGATTTTAACTTAAATCTTCCTGGTATTCTCATTTTTATTTGAGGTAAATTTCGAATTGTAGGAGATATCTATATTCTTATTAGAACCCTATAGGGTTACTTGAGAATTATTAGAAAAATGTTCCTAAAAAGTATCTAACTGTTAAAAAAAACTATTTTATTTTAACAGGTTTTTTATTTTTATTAGTTCATTAGCTAAAATAAAACGGTTCTTTAACATATAGATCTTTTAGGACCATTTTTTGAAACTTTTTTATGAGTGTAAGTAGAGGAAGAGGGGAGAAAAAGTCCAAGAACAGTCCGCCCATTGTTGACAGTTACGTTTGAAATTGCCAGGCCGTTTGGAAAGAGAATGGAAGAAGAAATAAGAGGAGAGGAAGAAAGAGAGAGAATATAACAGAAGCAGAAACAGAAACAGAAGCAAAAGCAGCGGCATAAGATCCAAAAAAAAGCAAAACTTGTTTCCCACCAACGGAAGAAACAAGCTGCAAAAAAGTCCAGATAACATTAGAGCTCAGAAAATTAGTATCGCAAAAATAAAAATTTCTATAAATGGAACCCCTATAAATATGAAAACAATCATGTCATTGATAAGATATGTGAGTTCATAAATATTGCTGTAGAAAAAATGTTTAACTCATAGGGGACCCTTTTTCCAGAGATATAAAGACGGAAACTTACAGAAAAGAGGTCTTTATAAGTATAATCTTGAGAGAACACCCATTGTTTAATGTATTTATTTTATTAACTGATAATATAATATAAAAAACCAAGACCTTCTCTAACTCCTCAACCCCAATCGTTCCTAACTATTTCAAATGATGGTAGAAGAAACGGTTTATGGACCGTCTGGAAATGGAGACCCCCATTCGGAATGTAAAAAATTCTTTATGTCGATCCGTAATGAAAGTCTGTTGTTAACGGAAGAATTCAAATGAATCGCGACACTAGCCCAATATTACCAGATATTTGGGTGACTTTTCACTTTCGCAATGCCTACATATAATACCATAAAACGAGACGAGTCCGAGGGTCTTTAGTGCGTACAAATGACATCCGAATAAATTCGCTAAAGACATAAAAACTTGGGAGAAAGAGCAGGGCAGGCAAACACACACACTCAATACACAATGTCAACGTTTTTGGCATTTTTTATTTAATTTCGTATAATTTATTTGGGGTTCCAGCAGCACACACACATTATTGTATACTATATATATTATACTATATACTATATACACCAGTTGAAGCCATTGACATTGAGCTGTCGCTGCCCGTTTTTGGCCGTTGGCATTTTGAATGGAAAACGAGCATCAACAAAAAAAAAAAGCCAAGCTTTTATCGGTTTTATCCCAAAAATGTACATCCAACAAATGTCCAAAAACAACAAAAACCAATCAATCGATGTTGTTTGTGTCTGTGTGTGTTTGAGTGCCGAAATGTAACGAAGTATTTTCGAAAAACTGAAACTAAAAAGCGGAAACTCAAAATGTTGCCCATATACAATGGATCGTAGGCGTAACCATACGTAATCCCAAAGTCGAACCCCTCACCTGCAGCTTTAGGGATAGATGTTTGTACATATATGTTCTATATGGCGTTGCATCCGCCGTTTTACTATCTCAGGAAATCAACAAAAAAAAAACTAGAAAACACATGACCATGTATTCGATTTATATAATTTTACCAAATTTGGTCAACTGAATCGACAGTTGTTGTGTTTTTGGCAAGACTGTAGAATATAAAACCAGTGTAGTATAGAAATGCGGGTTAATTGTAATCTAATTGAACTATTATAAATCTTTAAATTCAATTAAGATACTGTTTTTTTACTTTTCTTTTTCAAGTACCTAACAAATCAGATATTCACCCACTAGGTCACTCTATTTTATCCATTCAAATCTTTTTTATTACTCAAATCTTCAACTCGCGATCCCTGGATCTTCCTTGCATTGTAGATATCAAAATTCGTTATCGTCTTATACACTTATCGAACTATAATCAAGCTTTTAAATGATGTATGGTACTGCTTTGTTGTATTTTCCCTTTCGAGTACCTACATACCATATCAGATATTCGATCTGTTAGGTAACTCTATTTTATCCAATGGCCAAGCCGTTGGTCACTCAAATCTTCAAATCAGGCATTTATCTCCGGATCTCCCTTGCATTTAAATGCCAAAATTCGTTACTTTCCGTCCGTTTGTTCACATAAAAACGGCAAATGGACAATGCCACAAAAGAAGATCCAAGTTAAAGCCGTTAACTGTTTTTTGGGGGGAAGAAAGGCGTAAAGAAAGGGGCAAGGGGCAGAGGAAGACGAACATGACTTTCACTAGCTAATTAGAATTTCAGTGATGGCTCGCCAAAAGAAATGCAACAACAAAAAAAACAGCATGACAGTTTTATTTTTAGTGTTCAATTATTAGGCAAATTTTTGCGAAAGTCATTTTTGAATACCGTTGACTGACCGCTGCACTCAAAAAGAGGAAGAGAGACAGAGAGAAAGGGGTTTACGATCTGGTGACACTGATCTAAAAAGTTGGATCAAGTTAATCGATTGGCCAAAATGCTATTTTCATAATCATAACTTGCTATCTTTAGAAGCCAATTCTGATCATCAGTCTCTTAAAAAGGTATTAAAATTGACCTTTTATTAGTTCGGTGTTTATGTATTTCAGTAAACACGCTCTTAAGTCAGGAACCATCTGGAAAAACCGTTGCCGAGACCCTCATCTAGCTGTATGTGGGTCTTGTTTATAGGGTTTTTCTCTCGTACGTTGCATGAGCGTCTCAATTTTCCAGCTATGCTGCATACCCGACCTAAACAAACATTTTCCCCATTTTCCTGTTTTCCATCTTTCTGCTAAATTTGCATATGGCTTAAATGGATGTTTGTGGGTTTTTCTGTCATGTTTGATGGGCCTTTTAACCGAAGTTTATGGGGGTAATATGCATACACTTAAGGTCCGCTTAAAAGTTCCTAAAATGTCATATTATAATATTAAGTACTATGATATTATATTGGCTTATTTTTATTAAACAGTCTTTAGTATTAGCTTATTTTATAGTCTGTTTTATAGTTCCTAAAATTTCATATTATAATATTAAGTTATATGATATTATATTAGCTTATTTTCATTTAACAGTCTTTATTATTAGCTTACTTTTGTTTAATAGTCTGTTTTATAGTTCCTAAACTTTCATATTATAATATTAAGTTCTATAATATTATATTATCTTATTTTTATTTAACAGTCTGTTTTGTAGTATTCTTGACATCTGGTAATTTTTCTCTGGAATTCATCGCCAATTATTTATTATGAATATCAGCAATTGATGATTCATCTATGAGATCACAGAGGCAATTAATGAATGAATAAGTTTTGGGAAATACAATGATCGGCAAAGAGAGCAGACAGGCAAGTATAAAGGGGTTTCAAAATTGTTTAATGGTCTGTTTTAACTATATTAAATCGGAGAAACAATGTATCTAATGGATTTCCCCCATTTCCCCCCTAACTTGAGCATATGTTATCACGCTTTTCGGAGACTGTAAACAGACCGCAACAAATTGCATTTCCATTTCAGCATTTTTGAAAAAAAAAACGAAAAGAAAACGAAAAATGCAATTTGCTCCAATGCATTTCAGTTAAAAAATTAATGAAAATAAAATAAAATCAAAGCCCATGACTCATCACGGATTTGCACTCTTGATTTATTTACTTTTTTTTGTTTTCGGGTACTTTTCCAACATTTTGTGAAAGTGACACGTGCTGCGTCCCTTTCTGCGAAATTTTTGGCAAAAATGAAAAAATGAAAATAAAATAAGGATGATGATTCACCCGGATGTGGAGGATAACATAGGGTGTTAGGGTAGGGTACACATGTATGATATAGGGGTGGGTGCCGTTACAATTGCCACCCCAAATGGGAATGCGCAGGGCAGGACAACAGACAGTTCAGGGTTGGGATTTCGATTGAAATCGGCTATTGGGATGGAACGCACTGGAAATTATAAATATTATTATACCGAAGATTGTGGGATTTACCATATATCCTTAAAAAAATATTGTAATAATCTCTTTACAACTGAAGATTTATTGTAGGGTATTTGAAATATATTTTTAATTTAAACTTAAGTTTTTATTTTAAAAAGTTATTATATTTTTTAGAATATATTACCGTTTTCTTATTTAGAAATTTTGAACCTGTATATCTTTTTCAATTTTTGAGATCTGTTGGAAATGGGATTGCTAAACCTATATCATTGTTATAATAAGGCTTTCCTTTCTTTCAGTGCATCTGCTTATGGGATTGGCATTGCCGAAAATGAGGGTCGCGCCGCAGTGGCTCAACCTTGAACCCCGGACACCCGCCACTGGGTTATTCGTGGGTTCGGGGTGGGTGGTTCCTTGGTGCAGTGGTGTTCCGTCCTGGGCCAACATTTGGGTAAGGGGTGAAATCAGCTGTTGTCAATTGTGGTGGTTCCGCATTCAGTTTTCAGTATTCTGTTTTTAGGGCATTACTGATTACTGGTGGTGGCAATTCCGTTGACTAATCACTCCCAGCCTCAGAAGACTAAATACACCCGGTCTCTTTCCGGCTGTATTCTCCCCCAAAATAAAGAGTATATATCTATATGTAATCCCAAAATTCAAGATAAGGCGAAACAGAAGAATTAATGTGTTACCCATATGCACTGCAGATCCATTTTATATGGGTGTGTGTCTGCCAATGCATTAAATAACACAACTCAAGAGGCCTTCTCTGTTTCCCCTGATAAAGTCAAGTATACAACGCCCTACCCTCTTTTCTTTTCTTTCTTATTTTTTCGTTTCCCTTCTCGAAAAACTCTTTAAAATTGCATTCGAAGTGGGAACGGCAAAGAACTTCGACCCTATACTCAGAGAAGTCGTTAACCCTATGAGTAACCCCAAGAATGATCTTAAATACACATATAACACTTTCGTATCTCAAGTAGAGTCACAAATTATAAGATTTTCTCTTTAATACTTCTTTAAAGACATGTATCCCTTTTAATCTTTCCCTAACTTATCCAGAAATTAAGTTACTTAAGCCATAAGTTATAAATCAAAACCCAATTATCTGATTTCTTATACTTATACTTTTAATAAAGGAAAAGGTTTTCTTTTTAGCTTAATTTTCTTTATCAAAACAAAATCTAGGGATGATTGTAATTGGTATACAGAGGGTTAAGACTCTGTTGTTCCCACGTAGCCGGGGGTGTTAATTTATGACAGTGCAAAAATGGGCGTGGCTGGCAAACACTTCGGTCGCCAAGCCAAAAAAGGCAAGGATATGAACTGAACAATTGAAGAACAAAACACAAAATCGTAAAAGTAAGAGCGTGAAAAAATGGCAAAGTCAAAGGGTTGCACTCGATTCTTGTGAGTCACCAAAGTCGCCAATTTGATCCGCCCAACCCTTTGAATTCCATATACTACACAATAGTCAGGTGCTTCTGTATCAAGGTAAAAGAAAAACTATTCTGATTACACATATCGGTTTCTTTCTGGTTTTCCTTAACTTATCAGCAGTAAAAAATATATAACACTTGAAAGCCCACATATTGCTCGATTTCTAGCGGTAAAAATTTGTTCCCTTGAGACGGTCTCGTTTTTCAGTTCTATTCAGATCTAGAGCAACCATAGACTAGAAGAAAAAATACTGCTCCAAAGAATGTTGCAATTGTAAGGTGCAATAACATGAAAGATTGTGTGTAATAGGTATATAATTTATTGTCTTGGATTTATGATTATTTCTGGGTAACAAATGGTATGACTATATTTATTTATATTTTGGTTTTAGTATTAAACTGTATTAACCAATACTTCGAGTTTATTTATAAAATTGACTTCTTCATATATGGTTTTAATGGTCCCACTGTCAGAGGAAGCTCATCTCCATACCAGATATGTACTTTATGCTATATACACTTGATCAGTCACTCGAACGGAAACGGAGGCGATTACGAATGCCGGTCGCAACGCAGATCGCAGAAGAGGGAGAAATAAAAGGGAAAAGATACCAAATGGAGTTGAAAACGAAATGAGAAATGGTTTTATACGCTCGACAGGCGATCGAGATTCGTTAATATTCAAATCGCATCGTCGGAGGACCTTAGCAGGTAGACGTCGCTTCATAAATCGATTCGACATTCGATTTAAGACTCGCGACCAATTCTTTTACCATAAGCGGGGCTTTAATGAAGAGGAAGCAGAAGAATCGGATGAAGAAAAAGGAGTGGAAATGGGCGTATGAGGCAAGTACAGAGGGAAGTCTTTAAATCGAACCTTTATCTTACGTACAAGTATTTAAAAATAACATATTCTTAAAATATTGTATCTCAAATAAACATTGAACAACAATTTTTAAGTATAAATTGTTGAGTAGATAAACTAGTCATAAAAATTTAAACATTTTTGGATTTTTTTGGAGCATAATTTAATTTATATTTATAAATTTACAAATTTAAAATTTATATACTTTTATTTTATTAATATTTTATAATTATAAGCCAATATTTTTAATATTAATTTAAAAAAAAATGTATTTTGATCTTTTGAACGCATAATTAAGTTTATTTAAAACATAAACATTAACAATTTTAAAACTTTCACACATTTTTTTAATTATTCTATTTTATTTTTTTTTGTTAGGAGCTTAAATAAATATTATTTGTATTATATATATAAAAATAAATATATAGGATGGTTTGTCGCCAAAATTAAGATTATTTCTGACTAAAAAACATTTTAAATTTAAAAATTTACCCTTATTTAATTATTATGTTTAGTTCAGCAGTTGAGAGAGTTATTTTGTGGGGGGTTTTACTGTATTTGGGTGTGTTAGTTGCCGGTTTTTTTTTTGGGCGGGGGCGTCGACTTTACACACACTCGCTGCACACACACACACACACATATGTACACGCAGAGACGGGTGCGGGAAGTTCAAGTTCAAATTTATTTTTATTATTTCATTCTGCATGCGAGAGAGAGAGAGAGAATGTTGCAGCGGCAAAGAGAGCGCAGCATATGCATACATATGCACACACTCACATGTACTCACTGCAGTTGGGAAAATGCAAGCCAAATATGGTTATACGCAACAGTCGAAGCTCTCTCTTTGGCGCCCTCTCTTTGTTTTATGCTGTGTAAGCCGCTCTCTGGTCCCCCCTTCCACTTTCCAGTAAACCAGCACGCATTGATTTATAATGCAAAGTGATCGATTGCCTTTATGTTATGGCTCACTGGAAAAACGGGAAGTGGAAATGGAAACGGGAAACGGAAGGTTAAAGGTGTGTGGTTAAATGTGATTTATCTTTATTTGGCTGGAAAAGTGATTAAGACGGATTAACCACTAGATGGATTAGCCAGTACGCATACAGACACATGATTCATTTTCCACAAAAGAATATATTCATTTTGGGATTCATTTTATTATCTTTTATGTTATTTTGTTCAAAAACGGAGTTTTAGAAAATATATATATATATATAGATTTCATAAGAAAGCTTCGACTTAAATCCAAAACATCTTAGAAGTTTCTTGAATGTATATACTATGTACTATGTATTCATTTTATGGTCATGTAAAATCCTACGCTCCACCACTTGTTTGGGGGACTCGAAAAAAAGTGAAAACCCATTTGGAGCTCACGGTTTTGTGTCTAAAAAAGGGCATGGAAATTCATCGGGCCAAAAAGAGCATTGTAAAGCGGGAAAAACTAACTCAGAGCGCAGAAGCTGTTCTATATAGTATACGCATGTATCTATGTATGTAAGTGTCTATGTTGGCAATGCACATTATGTACGCATCGATGTACACAGCTGATGCAGCGTATAAAACTTTACATAAAAGGCCATAAAGTGAAGCCTCTCAATAAGATGTTTCTGTATCTAACATACATCATGTAAAAGAAAAAATATTTTTTTTTATTTCTAACCCACAGCCAATCCAAAAATATTTCAGCTTTCAAGATTATCCCATAAAAGATACATTTTTAAAATCTTTAGATTCTTGAATTATAAAGGTTACTTAAATACCTTCTCTGTAATTTAGTCTATATTATTATAATATTTTAGGTTAAGCCAATAAGCTGCTCATTACAGAGCGCAAATTTCAGCTCGCAATGTCAAAGTTCAAAAGGTTAACTCCGGCATTTACAGTTATGTGGGTTTTTGCATATTCTTATCATTATCATTATCATCAATTGCAGCTGTTTTCATTTCTCTTTTTCTCTCTCTCTTTCTCTTTTACTGCATCTTTTGGAAAGGGCTGGTGAATTGGGGGTGTGGGCAGCTAGGTGTGGTGTATTAGATTGGCAGTGCAATAATAACGGTGGTGGTTTTCGTAGAATTCGCCGCATCCAGGGGAAACTTACCCCGAAAAGAGAGACTTGGAGAGAGGGAGAGTGGCGAAGAAATAACGGTAGGACGCCTGCGCTGCTCTCAGCCACAGCACGTGCAAATATTCACATGCCTTCCAATCTTTTGCCGGCCGCTCTCTTCTACTCGCTCTCACTGCAAATATACATATGTATATACGATACACATCTATATATATAACCCTGCTTGACCCGACCTTCTGTAAATACCCATCATGAAGGTTAAAGAGCTTTAAGGGGCGCTTCGAGTACATTCCTAGGACAAATCTACAGCAGGCTTTCATTTAAAATGTTAAAATCCGGTTTATAATATAATATCTTCCGATTTTCTAGGTATTCATTCCAAAAATCCGGTATTACTCTTTTAGATCTATTATCTTTAAGTTTATTTTGATTACTTACAAATGACGGGATAGAAAATCTAACCATTCCTATAGAACTAATTATACCCGTTACTCGTAGAGTAAAAGGGTATACTAGATTCGTCGGAAAGTATGTAACAGGCAGAAGGAAGCGTTTCCGACCCCACAAAGTATATATATTCTTGATCAGGATCACTAGCCGAGTCGATCTAGCCATGTCCGTCTGTCCGTCTGTCCGTCTGTCCGTCTGTCTGTCCGTCCGGATGAACGCTGAGATCTCGGAAACTATGGGAGCTAGGCTATTGAGATTTGGCGTGCAGATTCCTGAGCTTCTTACGCAGCGCAAGTTTGTTTCGGCACAGTGCCACGCCCACTCTAACGCCCACAAACCGCCCAAAACTGTGGCTCCTACAGTTTTGATGCTAGAATAAAAATTTTAACTGAAATGTATTGTTCTCATCAATACCTATCGATTGACCCAAAAAAAAGTTTGCCACGCCCACTTTAACGCCCACAAACCGCGAAAACCTGTGACGCCCACAATTTTCATGCTAGATAAAAAATTTTAACTGAAATGTATTGGTCTCGTCGATACCTATCGATTGATCCAAAAAAAATTTGCCACGCCCACTCTAACGCCCATAACGCTTAAATCTGTATACCGCCGGTAGGTGGCGCATTTTAATCTCGCTTTGCTGCTTGCATATCTCCATAAAGCTGAGTAACGGGTATCTGATAGTCGAGGTACTCGACTATAGCGTTCTTCCTTGTTTTTTATAGAATATTTTTTAGAGAGTTGGAGTGTCATGGAAAGAAGATATCATTCCTTAACCCTACAATTCTCTAGGTTATTTACGAAAATTCGATTAGACCTTGGCTGTAATTTGCATATAGAATGCGCTATTTAACCAATTTAAAGCACACTTATTGGGGCAAACTAATTGCATCCCAACGAAACCAATTTTAAGCAATTTTAATGCAATTATCTGGTAAAAGTAATCCCCACTGAATTTACCAGGCAAGTAGTACCCATACCAAAAGAACTTTTTATAATCTCAACATTCCAATAACTTATCATGTAATTTTCTTATGTAAGGTTAGCCCAATTATCGAAGGTCATATCAGTAGTATTCGAACCTCGGGCCCAATTTGTTTTGAAACACTTCTATCACGCATTCTTGTTCTTCGCTTTTCCAATTTCGTGTAATTCTCTTGTCGATTTTTCCATATCACCAATGATCGTTCAAGGTCTGTGGTTCCATTCGGTTTCTATTTTTCTATAAGGCAGTCAATCAGCAGTGACATTTATGATCAATGGGACAGTTGACGGGGTACATATGTATATCGATAAGAAAAATGTTCTTATTGTCTTGTGATGATAAAAAAACCTACAGATGCCAAATGAAATTTTTGCTTGATCAACGAAATTGTATGTGGGTTGCTCTTTCCAGGTTTTATAATACTACGTGAGTACCATATAGGGCGTATCTTATCCAAACCCCGTAACCTGCGTCATGATGCGATAATTATTATTATTTTTATGTTACGTATCTCAAACTGACGCACAACTAAATGATTTTTAAATAATCTGTAGATTTTTTTTAAACAAGTTTTTTGGTTGTAAAAATTATGTTTAAATGTGTCCTATAAATGGTATAATTTGCAAGAAATTAAAACCTTAAGCAATCTCCAATGATCTCATCCATCGAATTGGATTTCAGTAATTCCCCAATTCGAAGAACCTCAGGTGTTATAGCCCCCAGTAAAAGAACCAAATCACCTCTTCAGTTGTGCTATATACATAGAAAGCATATATCACTTTGGTATAGTGGCTATAAAGCGGTATAGTTGTTGGGTCATAAGAAAATGGAACCACAAGCAGAACGGGCTGTTAATCTAATCGGCGGACGATTCTCTGGCGCTTTATCAACGTCATGGCAACTGGCTAACGGTAATGATAATGGTAACGATCCATTCCGTTCCCTCGATAAGATATAGCTAAGGGATTACGCAATTTTGTTTCAGGGGTTTTTTTTTTGGGGGTGAAAAAAAGGAGGAAATAAATTTAATAAAGTAATGATGATAAATATTGTGGTCAAGTCGGGGATTTTTGGGGGATTTCGTATAAGCTTGGCCCTGAAAACATTGATTCCAAGTGATATCGATTTCGAATCGATGTCATCTCCACTTTCCGCGTGAATGAGTTCTAGATACTCAGCGATCGAAATACCCACATTGCACCAGTGGTTTTATTAGCTTTTTGTGAGGCACTTGCTACGCCTAGATAGCCAAATAAGGGCAAAAAAAAGCAAACGTAAATGGGGAAAATGTAAATCGATAGCGAAACTTAAATTGCAAATGGAAACAAGGCGAGGTCATTAATGCCGAATTTATAAATGGGACAAGGGCAATTGATAGGCATTCGTTAACATATTTTGTATTTGCTGTTTTTATAATAGTATTTAAAAAGCTTAAAGTGCTGAACATTTTATCAGAACATTTAAACTTTTTCACAAAAAAAAAATAGTTGAAAGATCTAATTTAACAAATTAGTAAAAATTTAAGTAACCGTTGTAATGGCGCCATCTACTGAAATTTAAAGCAATTCTATTTCTTTGATCTGGCAGCTCTGTCATTTTATTTTAAGTTTGTCATTATTTTTAAAAACTAGTAATAACTA